TTGAAGCAAAGGAACCGTAAAAACAATCAAACTTTTGTGAAAGTGATCCCCAAATGCAATGGTAAGGCAAAAGTAAAGATTCAAAATAATGAATTCATCCACTCCTTCTTAGATTCCTTCCTGAATTTTTGCTAAACCAGTTGTATGTTTTACAGTATAATGCTGTTTCACCAGTGGGTACATCTAACACATATTGAGTGGATTTGTGGCATTTGCTTTCTAAGTTCTATGGAGGCATCTCAAGCATAATATAACTTGTTTTTCTTGAACATGTTTAGTTAGCAGTTGCATGTTATAAAATTTTTGTCATTAAGTACTTTTATTTGTGGTTTACGACTTATGTATGGGGTCTGTTTTTGCCTGATCTCTCCTGTGGTGGTAAGGCGATCATGCATTCATATAACTTTTATCACTAGAGAAATATTAATAAACACAACCACCAGCCATATTTCGAAGGATCGTATAAGGTTTATCACCCAATGTGTGTAGTCCAGAAATAAACTTGCCCAATACTTGTTTCTATAGTTGCCTACAGAGGTGTAAATTTCATCTGGAAATGTCTGTGCTTCTATGTTTAAAAATTAATCTGTGCCAGCAAATTTACAGCTTTTATGTCTGCTTCACATACAATACAAGCATTTTGGTCTCTAAATTGGAGCCATGGCAAATTGGAACCATTGCAAATTGAGCAGCAATCTGTGTTAGCTGGAAAATCTCTTGCACTAATGTCACAGGGACACTTTTGATCACAATCGGGGTTGATCTAGGTTAAATTTCTTAATCATTATCAATAAATATTGCTGTTGCAAGGTACATGGACCTTGCTGTTGCAATTATTGCTGTTGCAAGGCTAATTCGAACCGTGATGGTGCAGACGTTGGTCAAATGTCGGTTTGGTAAGCAGGGCTCACTCGTTGGGATCTAGATAGAGCCTGATCGTGATTAAAAGTGATTGTGTATTATCACTTGATCAAGATTAAGCTTAAGCTGAGTCGGCCCTGATCACAACCAAAATTGCCCGTGGGAAACTGGTATTAGCAATGTCCTAGATTTGCTAGTTTCTTTCAATTGTACATTATTTAAAATTCCAGCTTACATTGGGCACTTATTATGAATTTTGCTGAATTAATTGAAGCCTAAATTGAAACTTACTTGAATTTACCTCTCAGTTACTGGACTTGAGGAAGTGCTAATAGCAAGTGTAAAGTTTTCGAAAGAGGGAATGCAAGCAATACAGATGGCGATGATAGTTGTGGGTCAAAAAGACTTCTCAAAGCATGCAACTGTTTTCAGAGTGCTGTATGCTTGGCAGCACTGTCTATATGAGATTGGTCAAGCAGTGAGTGGGCGATCATTTTTATTTATACCATACTTCATACACTAGGTCCAATCAGAGTGGGCAAAGCTCGATGGAATAAAAATGGGAGTCAACAAAAAGAAAGAGCAGAAATATATAGGTACAAAAATGTTATTCACGGTCTGCTGATAGCATGCTCCAATAAGATGATTACATTCATGCATAGTCCTGAAAAATGTTTTTGAACAGGTCAACATGCATGGAATGTATTGTTAGTATATATTGTTAATGTAATGTCGGCCTGCTAGCTAAAGGTGATCAAAGTCAGAGCTAATTTGTTTATGTAATTCTAAACTTCATCTGAATTTACAGTAGGTGTATTTTACTGGTTTTAATTAAGTTAGAGAACTAGTCTAATGGGACTAATTTGATATAGAGCTTATGACTTCCCTTTGGAACATTTGAGGCTATGAATATTATTCTATAAAAGGTGTACCAAGTAGTGCTTGCATATGTGTAGTTTCGGCCCAACAAGATCAGTATACCAGTAAAAGAATTTAACCCTTTATGTCCTGTTGACGAGCATAGCCAAGGAATTTGTATGAGTATAACCAACAGCATCGTTCTAATTGAAATCTCTCGCTTGAGGAACCTCTGGCAACTACACTCATCCTACAGTGGAACTCGATTCAATGAAGTTATGACAGGGCTAAAGTTCAATTGAGAATTTCATGAAATTGAGACTCGGATTTTTGGCTCCTCGAAATGTGAAATGGTAATGTTCTGTCAACAAAAGCCTATCACGGTATTTTTTTACTGTCAGCCCATGGCTAGGTACTTTAAATGTCTACAAAGCCGGCCCTGATGTCAGGTACTCCCAGATGTCAGGATGTTTGGGCAGTACAGGGCAGGTATACACGGTCACATGAAGCTATGGCAGGCTACTGATATGCGATGGCATGGAGAATGAAAGCAGTGGTTGTGCGAGCAGGCCGAGAGAGAAACGATGAGACGATCGGTACTATCTGTTGCATGAGCCATAGTTTCCCAATAATACACTAGAGGGAAATCTGGCGCAAGTGTCTGTGGGAGCTGCGATGCATGGCACTTCAGCCAACATGGAAATGATGGGTTGATTGAATTGCTATATGTGGCTTCGATTTCCGTTGGGATTAGTAGAATGGAGCTTGAACTGACGCATGCACTTCCCTGGTCCAATATGTTAAAGGCTTCTCCAATTTCGGCTTATTCTTTGATTTGGTCAAAACTGGCGTTTTTTTTTTATAAAATAGGGCTGCACCCACACTTTGTGTAGTGCGTGAAAAGGTTTCCTGCAGTCCCCTTTGCTGGCAGTCTTTAACACCGACGGAGATCGAATCCATCTGAAGCCACATATAGCAATTGAATCTGCATTATCGGAAAAGAACTGCGAGCCATTGCCACAGCTCGTAGTTGTAATCACCAGCTCAAGACAATTCAGCAAAATTTTAACCCCCTCCCCCTCATAAAATTGTTTTTATGAGAGGGAGGGGGTTATCGCTTTTATGATCTTTTCCTTTTCTTCAATAAATTCAGTTGATAGTTTGTGCTTGTAGTGTCCGCTTTGTTTCGTGTCTCCTCCCTAACTTCGTATTTTGCAGTAACTGTACACTCAAACCTCTATATATTGAAACCGGATATAACAAAACTGGATATAATGAAATATTCATTGTAACAAAGTAAATGAAAAATTCTTGCAATAGATATAGTATTAAAAAAGATCCTTTATGACAAATTTTTTGACATAAAGAACTTACTTTTTGTGTAAGTTGCAACTTTGATATAGTGATATTTGAGTGTAGTGCAGTTTTTTGACCAACACTGATTTGTCGAAGCTCTATTCTTTCGGCTTCGTGTGGCTTCATGTGGCGTGCAGGCGCTTTGTTGCAAGACAGAGGTGGGCAGAGGTTCAGCATTTCCGCTTCACCACCTTGACTCTTTAGGCTTTCCATTCAAATCGGCTCACAGAGTTTGCAGCAATTAATTCTTTTATCCAAAGCACAACAATAAACAAAGCTCTCCAAGTGCACTCGAAGCCATGAGCACAAAAGGACAAATCTGTGTACTACCCATCATTCCCATGGTGGCTGCACAATCGCAGGGCTTGAGTTCTATCTAATAAATATTTTAGAAAACACTGCGGCATAAACCACGAAATAACCAAGCCTCTAGTATGCTTGCCTCTAGTATGTTTGTGTACATGATGAGCTGCTACAGACAACCTGATGCGTTGCTTCGTGCATGGGCATGGTATGCAGCCGTGCAAAGTAAAGCTACGGCTATATCTAGGGCACCTCAATGTACTGATGCAATAGCATCAGTGTGCATACTCGAAGAAAACCCCATCGTGGTCAAAATCGAAAAAGAATTGCCATTTTCTCACTGAGTTATTTCATTTCAAAATTTATCGAATGGGTTTGGTGGCCAAATTAGTTTCGGTAGTTCAGGTTGATGACAAAACTGCTGTATTTGCTGGGGAAAGGAAATTTCTGTTGGATCGTGAACTTCATTAAGTTGGGTTTTATTGGATCGAGTTCTAAATGTATTACATCAAGCTGCAATTCCAGACACTTGAGAGACACACATATGGATGTTGTGCCATTTGTGTTTCGTTTTTCATTGTACTGCCACCTCTGACATCTCCAAATAGATTATGGTAGCGTCATTGTTACAATGGAATGAAAGCACACACAAAGAAAGTGTTTTGACAACTCCTCATCAGATGACAGCTCTGTACAATTCTGCACAAAAGCGAACCTTCTAAATCTGAGCTGTTTGATGACACTTGTGCTGTCAGTAAAGTGTTCTTTAAATAATTTTCTTATTCATTTTGTGCTGAAATAAAGGAGACCCATTGAATTTTGAATAATAGTGCCGTTTTATGCTCTACAAACAGAGTAAAAATAGTGTTGCCAATTCCATACCATCAAAACTCTCGGACAGCGAACCTCTAAGCGTGCGTGATTGTATGTGGTTGGCTAGCGAGATCGTGATTTTGTCGTCAATTTGCTGCTAGACTTGAAATATATGTGCCTCATTTTATTTATTTATTTGCTCTCGCCTCTGGCGACGTGATCTGCATCATGCCCAGAACTACTACTACTACAGTCACAAGGATGACACAGGCAGACTAACCCAGCTTAGTGTGATTTTGAGCATCGTCATCACCATTATTTATAAATATTGTTTTATTTTATTTATTCAACCTACTCTGTGGTCACGCGGCCCTAGTCAACCTACTACTACTACTACTACTACTACTACTACTACTACTATTACTACTACTACCACCACCACCGTAAAATGTCTGAGCAAGTGGCTCCACCCGAGCTAGTGTCCCATCCCGTTTTTAGGAGATTTGAAATAAGCGACAACGATTAGTCCAGGACCGAGCAAGTACGCTCCCCCCAAATCTGGTTTGATTATCCTTCACCATGGGGTAGGGGGAGGAGCTTGCTCAGAATTTCAGCGTACTACTATGACAACAATTATAGAATCTTGCTTAGTGTAGCGTGGATTTTGGTTAGGAAAAGAATACACGACAGGAAGGGAGTGGATGGCACGTAGCATACTTTTTTTTTCTCGACCAGAGAATGTTAACTTGATGCAAGACGTTGTGTATGCCATTGCTGACTGTGCCATGTGGGTACTTGTTGTGGAGCAGGGGGCGCGGCAATGGGCGACGTCTGCTGTGGCTGCGGCTGAGGTGGCATGTCCAGCAGCCTGGAGGCTCCCTCTCCGCCCCCACCCTCCTCCTCTCCTCCCCCGGCCCCACAGTCGGCCATGACGGTGGACTTCTCGGCATACGGGCTCTCCTCCTTCGTTGGGGGCACCGACAATGCCACCCAGGTACCACAACCACCGTGCCTTTGTCAGCTAATGTGCTTCACGCTCATGTGCATAGATGATGCCCAGAAAGGTTGCAGCCGGTTTTATGGTGGATTCTGTTGGCAGACTCGAAGGGTCATACTTTAGGCAAAAAATGGTCGCAACAGGTAAAAATGGGTGTTCCACACTCGTGATATTGGCAGCTCGTAGCACTGACTGACACTCTCACATAAAATGCATATACCCTGTAAATTGAATGAAGGGATGACCGCCGCCCTATTAGCTCAGTAGCTCAGTGGTAGAGCATCGTACGTGTTATTTGAAAGTCCCGGATTCAGTCCTTACCCATGGCAATGTTCTTTTTGTCCAGTTTTCTTTCTTCGTATTTGCATTACATTTACTACTAACATCCTCTATACTTTTGTTGGCAATGTTGTCTGTTCTCATTATTATTGTGTCAAAAAAAGTCACAGTTTTGCTGCAAAAGTGAAGCAATGAATGCGATAGCAACAAATTGCAATGTCAGGCGAAAGAATGGAGAGCATATTGAAATGTGCCCCTCGTTGCTCACGCACAAATGAACACGAATAAGTGTCTCTGTTGTTACCTCACTGTGTCTGAAAAGTGCACCCTTTTTACAAAGGGAGACACTGCAGTGACCTTTGTGCGCCCCATAACTACAACAGAATCGTTCCTTTGAAAGCCGAAGGCGTAGGATTCTCTCCACCGTGAGATAAAGCGCGCACACGCGTGAGCGTCTGCCCCCTCCGTGGGGCAAAGTATGCATGGGAGATCAACACATCAGCGCATGTTGCCACGTCATTGCGCCATCTCACTAATAATGCTGAAACATGATAGTTCCCCGAGAAGGGCATTGCCAATGATAAGTGGTAGATGTAAATAGCTTACCATTTCAATGCTGAAGGAGGTGCTCCTTCGTGGCCCAGTGGCTAACACCACGCACTCACAAGCAAGAGGTCGGATTGTTGATTCCGCACGCTGCAGTCTTTTCTTCTTTCTTGCAATTTCATATATATATATATATATATATATATATATATATATATAGAATGGGCATAATCCTTTAATATTGGATGAAAAAAATCTGTCTTATGGTCAGTCTGTCTTCACTTCTTTTTTTTGTTGGCTGTTTCTTTGGTGCTGTGTCTTTCTGCGATTGTGGGTTTTTGTACCTCTTCAGGCTCTCTACCTGTTTCCTGAGGCTGCAGCCTTTTCTCCCAAGGACCAGAAGGGTCCTTCACCCCCGACCAGCAGAGCCTACGACCATGCTGGCGATGCTATGCTCAGTGCAATCAATTACGGGTAAGTGACACTGCCCATTAACCTGCAAAGGAGATTCAGTGCTGTAGCATTAAATTTTCATTTGATGCTTAGCAAATGTTCTGTACTCTCCTGTAATGCTATAGCATTAATGTCACTGTAGCATTTGTTGCACCGTTGTGATACTGTGTCGAGATGTATTGTGGTGTATTCAACAGGCAGATTCAAAGCAGTATGTTTTGCCTATGTGTTTAAAAGTAAGCTAAAGTGAAATAGTAAATTAGTTGTAACTGCAATATTAACTGTAAAACCTTAATGTCATCAATTTCACCACCCTAGGTTTGGTAATAAACGAGAAATACAATGTTTTTTAAGTCTCACTTTTAAATTTTCCACTGAAATCTCTGATGGCGACACCGCAGATTTTGTTTTTGTATTTTGTCCACATTGGCTCAATAGAATTTCTAAAACTTGGTATGTTGAAGTTCTGACACAAAATTTAGAAGAGGAGATAATGCACGAGATATATCTATCTAGAGACCTACACTAAATCTACAAAGTATCAAGGGCGAACATAGCCTAGAACATATTTAATATCAATTTTAAAGTGCTTGCCGTGTGACTAAGCAAGATGCGGAGCCCGTCGCAATGCCAACATCAATGCGGCAGGAGTGTAAACAAACCTACATAAGGAGTTTGTGGTCGCTGTCTGCTCGACGCGCGCCTTGCACTTGCTACCTGTCATTTCTTCCTTCGTGTCTGCGGCGTGGCATGTGCTGGCTGTGCTGGCGGTTGTCAGTGCGGCAACTGCTTGTGCACGTTCTTGCGTGTGGTGCCCACTCACAATTTTGCGTGGTCACGTGGTCAGCTGTGTTTACCTTGCTACCAGAACTTGTGGGTTTTTTAATTGGCGAGCGCCACCACTACGCTCCTGGAGTGAACGGACACAGCCGACGCGGTCTGTCCAAACCAAACCAAACACACATTTATTTAACTACATTTTGATCGACAATATCATCATCCTAATCATTATAGCATCAATCGTGATCAACATGCTAGGACATACTTACGCAATAGTAAACAACACTCAACAACATGACGAACAAGGCGGTGTCGCTAACGCCTGACTCACTACGTGGGCCGACTGCAGACAGCCCGCGGTGCCGTCCATGGCAGACCCACCGCTGGAGGTAACCGCCCGTGCCACTGCCCCACACCGAAGAGACTCTCTCAACTCTCTCGCCCGCCACCAAGGCTTGCCCTCCGCCGGGGATCACCGCCAGCGCTACCGCTCTACCTACCGAGATGATGATAGTGGTGATTACCGCTCGCGAACACAACGCCATTTATCGCTCAATAGTTGTCATCCCCGAAATACGGCTTCTGTGCGAGACCTGTGCCACGTGGCACAAACAACTTTACAGGGGGTGTCAGCACCCCCACAAACTGCATCGGCCTAGCTCGGTGCTGTTTGAAACCGAAACTGCGACTGGGTGCTTTAAAAACGTCTTCTAACAAATAACCGCCTCACACTCGTGCAAACGAGGTTTTCAACTGTAATAAGTGGGTCATAAGCTGCCTATTGAAAAAAAAAAAAAATGTTCAGAATTTTTGTGTCTGTGCTACTTTAAGTACCTGGCTTCCTCAGAAGACAATGTGGTATTTCCTTTTTACCAATTTTGAACTATGTAGGCTCAAGTAGACATTATTCAAATCCACTAGATCACAATGACTGGCGTGAGAGCTTCAGTGTGGCTTCAGCAGGTGCATTTTCTTTTTGCGCGTTTTCTCACTTACCAAGTTTCTTCTCATGGCGAGTGTGGCGTTTTTAGTATCGGTTTCAACAACAACAAAAAAAACTAGCCTCTAAAAGGGCCCAAGACTTTTTGAGCATAGTCGGAAATCGCTGTCGATTGGTAGTCGAGGCTCCAGAGAACACGCGAGCCAAATATTACAGTGCAGCACTTGGCCTAAAAATTCACAATAAATTCTCAAAGTGAGCTAAATATTGCTTTCTGTTCTCTTGTCAAATGACGGAACAAGCTCAAAAATCACTCGTGACAGCCATTGTATTTGCCATGGGCTGATTAGAGCATGGCGCGCTCCGTCATTATTGGGCCCGCCGTGAAAGGTCGGGACTTGTCCATGCATGCGTGCGTAATTGCAACTGCGTATTCAAAGAAAAAAAAGAGAGAAAATATTGCTCAAGGTCGCGAGGCACGAGCGGTGTTTTTCTTTCCCCATGTCATTCGTCCCTGCTTAGCTTCCAGTGCTTTCGTCAGGACAGATAAGAGAGAGTGCAATTGCAGCATGCGACAAATCTTTGTTACTCCACTCGTAGTGGACGGATTCTAAAAGTTTTTGCGGCCTGTGAATTCGTGAGGCAATAAAATCCTTATTGAATCCTTTGCATGGCTACTGAAAAAGTGTTGCAGGGCCCCTTTCCTCTTCTTTCGTTCCCCACATGTGGTGTTGTTTTGTCGAAAGAGGTTCATCTTCAGCCATTTCCCTGTGCAGCGAGGATGAGGTGCTTAACGAAGGTTTCGAGGTTCCCTTTGGCTCTCTGGATGGTTTGCTGCGGTTGCCCCCTCGGCCAGCCACGGCCCCTGCCGACGCTTCGCCGTTCGACCTGCTTGGGGACAGCGAGCTGCAGTTGTCACCACCGCAGGCCTTCGGTGCGGCCACTCATGGACCAGATTCAGGTTGGTAGTGGGGCAGAAACAACTATGCCACCAAAATTTACCGTTGTGACCTCGTAGTACCTTTCACTGTAAAAAATCTGCTTGTGCGCATGGTGTATTTCAGGTTCGAAGCAAATTTGAAGCAAAAAATGATTTTGTAAAATAATTTAGATTTGAATAGTATATATTGCATATATAAAGAAAAAATGGGCTTATTTGTAATGACCCAACTAACCTGCACAGTACTTTTTAAATTTCTAAAATTGAAAGAAGGCCTGTGCAAATGCCGTCCTTTTTGGTTCATGGAAACAAATCTGAATAGCAGCAGGATTTGACTTTCGGTAAAATGCAAGTGATGACTTGTGAAATGTTACGTTTTAAGGTTTCCTTTACTTAGAGTATATAAGTTGGTGTAACAAGTTTTTAAACTTGAAAAATGAATCGATGCGAGGGTAATATCTTCATTTAACCTTGGAAGTAAGGCTTCATGGCAGTGCAGATTCCTTCTGTACTGGTGCTCTCACGGTTTAGCACTTGTTTACTGCAGTGAAACCACCTTTACAGGCTGTTACGTGCAGACTAGCATACATTTGTTTGCTTATTTTGAATACTTCAAAATTTTCAACAATTTAAGTTTGAATCGAAGTGGATACAGTAATATTCATTTGAGTATTCGCACAAGCCTAGTGAAGAAGTACAAGATGGGATATTACTTTTTTTCTCCTTTCCTTGGTTCTCAGCTTGCACCTCAAATCTTTCCAGTTGGCATAGTCTTTGGCATGTATGGTACCCTGTCGTTCTCAATTACACATTGTTCAACTACGAATAGTGCGAACAGAGTTCACTCACTCCCAGCAGTCAAGCCAGAACACTTTATTGACTGCCTCCACAGGAATCTATCGCCGCGAGCCGACCAATTGTACATGCCGTGTTCTGAGGCTTGAAAAAGTTTTGGCTGCAGTTATGAGGGCTCTGCTTTTTATAACTTTATTATTATTTTATAATAAATATAATATTATGTATTTATAATGAGGAAACTTGCTGAGCTACTGCAAGTTTGCTTGCAAATTTATAATGTGCAGTTATTTTTGTTTTATATTGTATATTTAATAAAATAACAGTAATTTCATGTACCTTCTACAGAAAAAAGATTTTTTATTCTTAAACGGAGAGAACTACAAAGTAAATCAGCATATCACAATAATTTGGAATAAGAATTGTATGGAATAAAATAATACCGTATTTACTCGATTCTATCGCGCCCTCGATTGTAACGCGCACCCAATTTCCACTGCGAAAAAAAAAAAACGTAAGACAACGATTGCAACGCGCACCCATTTTTCTCGCTGGCCCGCACAATCACACCACTCGAAAAAACGACTCCTTTCCGGAGCGTCTTCCATTTAAATATGAGGTACGGGCGAAGCTTGTGCCCATCTGACGTGTAACAGAGCATTGCCGTCACTGTAGTTTTACCGTGGACCGATGTCAGCACGCGAACTTGCTTCGCCCCCTTCTTCTCGACGGTTGTTGTGCTAGGCATGTCGAAGTAAAGAGGCGTCTAATCGGCATTCCCGATTTGCCCAAGCAGGTAGCCGTTGTTGCGCCGCAAGTTTAGTACGAGCCTCTGAAAACTGTGAAGCTTTTCATCGTACTCCTCCGCAAAACTTTTCGCATATGCATGTTCCCCTTCGGAGGGAAAAGCCTTTCCTCTTCATAAAGTTGGTTAGCCAGCACCTGCGCGCTTTAAACTGGCTCCACATCAGACCTTTTTCTAAGACTAATTGCATAGCCCGCACTTGGAGCAATTCTGTCGTCACGGGCCGCTGTGCCGCTCGCTGCTCAAGCACATACTCGGCGAGCAGCTCTTCATTTTGCGGAAACCGACCCTGCTGTGGTTCACTGAAGCCTTTGCGTGAATCTTTGCTGTCGACAATCTTCTGCTTTTGTTTCCGCCAGTCCCGCAGGCACGTTTCGGGAACTCCGAACGACCGCGATGCGGCCCGATTTCCGTTCGTTTCTGCACACGCGATGACTTTTCTTTTAAAAGCGGCATCGTGATGCACTCGAGTTTTTGGAGTCAGCCCTTCCACGCCGTCGATGCTCATGCACTACTAGATGACAAACTTCTCAGCACACGTACGAAGTGCCGCACATGGGAAACAAATAGGCAGAAATGGCCGACGCGCCATGCCGACGCACGTAGGGGGCGGCCATTTCGGATTTGCCGATGGCAATAGGTTGACCGTAATTTTTTTGTTCGTGCTCGATTCTAACGCGCATGCGATTTATGAACTCACTTAACCGGAAAAAAGGTGCGCGTTAGATTCGAGTAATTACGGTAATCGATGTTCGTAGCTCACTTGAACAGAATTGATGATGAATTGAAAGGAAGTCATCTGGCTTCAGTCTCGCACTCGGATTAAGCATTTTTTCTTCTTGTGATGCGTAAATTTACCACCCTCGTTCATTTTGCACTCGTCATTCTTTTGTTCTGTAACTGCTGAAATGTTCGTGTGGTTTTCATTAGACATTCAGTTGAGAGACAGTGCTCCTGTTGTCCTCTGTGTCCCTGTCCTTTTGCTCTGCGAACCTTCACAGTACTCTGGTACAGTGGCTTGTGAGTCTCACGTGCGGACATTTTCTTTTGCTCCACTTGGTCTCTCAGTGGTAGGGAGCAGTGGTGATCCACCCGGAGCCTCCCTGTCTCTGCCATGCATCAGTCTTCCATCGGACAAGGAGATGGGGCGGCTGTCACCGGCCTTGTCGGCTGCTGCTGCTGCCACTGGCATTCGGCCCATTGCCAAAGTGGGTGGCAATGGTGGCAGGGCTCCCTCCGCGCAGCCCTGCCCAGTGTGCGGCAAGGTGGGTGCGACCCCGACTCGTTAAGACTCCCACCTGCTACGGTTGGGGTTTGTTGATATCTGGCATCAAGAGTATCTGGCCAACCAGACGAATGCTTCTGATGCCCTGGAAGTAATTTATCACAATTCGCCAAAAGTTGAAAAGGAGGATATGTGTGAAATTGCAAATGCTATTAGCATTTCAAGTGGTGAGCAGTGGTAGATGCTCCATGTATTTAAAAAGATGATTAATCAATGTGTTTTCTGCTGCAACAGTAATCGCACAGGTTTGTCCAGAGCGGTTCCTTGGATTTCTTTTATTGTGCATATTAAAAAGGAAATACAAATTCAAAGGAAAATGGCATGGGCGGTTCTGTTGCAGGTATTTGGAAACTCAAGCGCACTGACCAAGCACAAGCTGACTCACTCCGACGAGCGCAAGTACGTGTGCAGCCAGTGCCAGAAGGCGTTCAAGAGGCAGGACCACCTAAACGGCCACATGGTGACGCACCGCAACAAGAAGCCGTACGAGTGTGACGCCGAGGGCTGTGACAAGAGCTACTGTGATGCCCGCTCCCTACGTCGTCACAAGGAGAACCACCATGCCTCAGTGGCGCTCACGCTGGTGCCCTTTCAGGTGAGGCTTCCGTTCTGGCTTCGGCTCCTGGATTTTTTTCTGTTTAATCCTTCGGGGCTGACCGCTGCGCATGTAAAATAACAGGAAAAAGAAAATTCAGCCATTTCCACGCAATGAGAATATTCGGACGGCATAGCTAATGCCCGAGTGTATGTGATTGGCCAGCAAGATCAAGTGCATTATTATCGTGATAATTTCTAGCAGCATCGGCATTATTAAAATTTTTTTATTCACTCCCCCCTCTGGTCGCATGTCTAGCTTATTCTTACTACTGCTAGCGCTACTGCCATCACTACTACAACAACGATGGCAGCACAGAGTAGAATACGATGGCGTTGTTGTAAAAACCCAAGTAGTCGCTTACATTGGTCACAGTGGTCACGGGAATGTGCAGAATAAGTCCTTCACCCTTGTGTGAATTGCAGTCAAATTTTTTACTGTACCGCAACCCCTCAGTAATGTACACATTTAGATGACTTGATAAGGTTCCATGGTGCTGAAAGGCAGCGAAAAAATTTTTCAGAATAATGTGCAAAAAAAAGGACATGAGTAGTGCTTGTAAGTAAAATTTGTGTTGGTCGAAATTACCACATAAGGCCACAGTGCCAGCAGTGAATTCGCCTTAGCTCAGCAAGGTGGTTGTGAGAAGTTCAAGCAAATAAATGTTGATTAATTTATGCATATGTTTTTAAGTGTTTATTTTCTTCAGTAAGTGCGTAAGGGCTAGTGTCGTCTGTTTCTTTGCCTTGGTGTTTGAAATTTTCGCGCTGCCTTTTCAACACCTCGTTACCTATTGGCCTTCGTTCAATTGTGACACTGCAATGCTTCTTGTGTGACAAATCAACGTGGCTGTCCCTTTTAGTGTGCATGTTAATTTTGACACGATTACTTGGTCCGGCACGGTTAAGTTCAGTTAGAAGAATTTGGCGCTAGTCGTTCTCTGGCATCTTCATTGGTGCCTTAGTTTAGCAATTGTCACTACAGTGTTGCAACCTGAGAAAAATTGTTAGCTTTGCCCACACCTATTACTGCGACTACATCAGAGAGAATTAGCATAATTGCACTATGCAATCGCGCTTTCTCATTGTCGTACTAGCTCTTGAGAGTTTCTGGTAGCTGACTTTCCCACACACTCACCTGTGTGTCACTGGTGTTGGGTCTCCAAAAAAAAAAGACAGGAAGATGGAAGCTTGCGATTGAAAATCCCTAAACAGTGGTTGCATCGAGCCGACGTTTCGACAAGCGAACTTGTTTTCCTCAAGGCTAGAACGGAACTGATTTCTTTAGCGCTAGTGTGTCTACGTTTCATACCCTCTCCTCCATCCTAACAATGCTCTATTACAATGTGCTAAATTTAGTCAGGGATACTGATGTCGCCGCACAGCCAAGCTTAATATTTCAGTTGTTACCAATGGACCACTAGCTCCTAATGTGTGAGTGCATACTTCGGCTGGGGAAAAACAAAACTAAACAAAAGGACCTATGGTTTGACCGAAAACCAGTTATACTCGGCAACAAATAATTTTGACTAATCTTGAAGGTCACGAAAGTGGGCCTTCCACACGTTTGATATGCTCCGCAAATAGCACGGCAGCTTGCGACTGATTTAGGTTTTGCTCATTCTGATTGTTACACGTTTAGCGCAGCATAAACACAATAAATGTGAAGGGTAGGCACGTTTCAATTGTTGAGAGCACATTCTAGTGGCCTGCTAAGAGTATATTTTTTTTTTTTTTTGAGAAATAAATGGAGCATTTTCATCTACACACTGACTTCACGGGTGCCATGTCTTCTTGGGAAAGGGTGGGCTGAGAAAGTTGGTGCTGTCTAATAAATGGAAAAAAAAAAAGTTCTAGCTAGGTGAACAGTAACTGTATTTTACCTGCTATCTTCCACAACTGTTTTAGTCTCACAATAAGTAAAGCAGTATTTGTTTCAGCTAGCCAGATGGGAAAATTGCCCATAAATGTAAGTCCTCAAACCTCAATATAACGAATTTGGATATAACAAATTACCAATCATAACTAAGTGAACAATAGCTTTGTTATAGGCAGCATTACGAATAATCGTTTATAACAAATTTTTGGATACTGAGGTGGAAACAGCACAACTGGCCCCCCAAGACAGTCTTCTGCAATTTTTGGATATAACGAACTATTTTAATGGCAGATGCGACTTTGTTATAATGAGGTTTGAGTGTGCTATTTTTTGAGGTGGTAACAGGCATGGGCTTTGGTTCTGTAGCTTGCACAGTGCGGTACAGAAAAGTTGTCGCCGAGTATAGCACGACCTTCTTTCACAGACGAAGGGCAGGGGCAAGCTGCAGTTCTCTAGGTGGAGCTTACATTTTTTTTCCTTGTTTGTATCGAGTGTAGTTCATTCAGCCACCTTCTGAAAAGGTGCTTTAGCAGACTTCCTTTGGTTTGCATTTTAATTCATACTAATGGTGCAGGCCATCCCTCTGCCGCCGCAATTGCAACTGGTGGCGTTTCCATCGGAAGATGGAGGGACCTCGGTGTGGGCTCCGGTCGGGGGAACCACCCAGCGCCCCCTTCTGGTCGCACCACCCACACAAGGGACGGCCGTGCAGCAAGCCACGCCACAACAACCGCCGCAGCAGGAAGCGCAGCAGCAGACCTCCCAGCGGCAGCCTTCACCAAGACCGCTGCCACAGCCAGAGGGCCCGCAGCTTTTGCAACAGCTCTTAGAACCAAGCAAGGCATGGACGACTGTGCCAACCGTGAGAACAGTCAACGTTCTATTTCTCGAACCCTCAAGGGACCACAAAAATTTCCAGAAAATCGGGCATTCCGGAAAAACAAATGCATGCGAAAACGCACCTTTTTTTTTTTTGCAGGCATTATTCGCGAACACATAGGGTGAACGAACACAATGAGGATTGCCCACAGATTAGACTAAGCTACGGCTGGCACTGGATTGGCTCTAGATTGTGTCAATCGCAGTTTCGAGGATACGTCATCCATGACCCCGTGGCACGTGCGTGCGATGCAAGTAGGGTGGGTTCGAGGGTACAAAAACAACCACAATGGTAGGGTTCATGGCGACTTTGAGTCTGCAGTTATTAGTGAGAAGTCCGGGAAATCGGATGGTGCAGGCTATAAATGTTAAAAATTCCGGACTTTTTAATGCGTTGACTCTATGGGAAATTTGACGGTGCCGGAGATGAGTCGGAAAAACCAGACATGTCCGAAATTTCGGGAAATCGGACATCCACTGTAGATGGCAGTAGAAGTTGAAGATAGTTAACGATCTTTCAGGATATAAAGAATGAACATGTTACTCTCTTATACTTAGAAATTTTGGCGCAACCTCGACTCACGCAAACACTCACACAAGCACACACACTTACACCAGAGCAACACACACGACACGCAGCGCTCACTACCAACTGTTTATTGCTCCTATCTGACCTTCTTAAATACGTACATCGAAATGCGCAAAGGCACAAACTAACAGAACTGCGCCAGTAGAAAACCAACATGGCGTCACCACACCACTAGGAACAAGTAAAAAGTAAAAAAAGTAAAAAAAGTAAAAAAAAGTAAAAAAAGGGGGGGGTTAACACGAAAAGGAGATATAATCGCTAAACCCTCGCATCAAGGAAAGATATTTCTTGTTGATGCAACACCAAAGATGGCTCGCTGACACATATATCTTTATTCTTTTCTATATAATATGCTTCTAACAGCAAACGTGCTGATAAATTTGAGCTTCTCCCAAGAATCCTTGTATCCGAAAATCGTGGTTCACACCCACATGCGGCAATATGCGACACAAGATGTGCGTACTTATCCTCGTTTTTCTTAACCTTTAGCGCATGCTCCCTAAGCCGGTCATTGAGGCATCGCTCGGTAATGCCAATGTACACGTTACCGCAGGAAAAAGGAATGGAGTATACAACTCCCATGGAACATTTTACGAAGGCATTCTCATGTTTTTTCACGCAACCGCGTCTCTTGCCATTGCAAATACGCGGACATAACTTGGCGAGCTTTTCTGGCGCAGAAAAGACCACAGCCACACCATGCCTTGCAGCAACCTTCTTAATATTATGGGAGAGCTTGTGCACGTAAGGCACGACTTGAAGCTTGGAACCCGAAGGATCCCAAGTAGCTCTATCCCTTTGTGTTCCACGTTTCATCTTCTGCAGTAGTGACTCGGCGACCGCGTTTAGGACCGACGAAGGGAAGCCCGCCGCCGTCAATCGGCTGATCTGTTCATAAAAACTAGTACGCATGTGGTGTGGACACGACTTAATCAACGAGGATTCTAGACATAGCGAAGCAATACCTCTTTTAACTAATTTCGAGTGTGCAGAATCATACGGCAACAGCCCCTTCTTCACTCTAGGCCGGTACACCCAACAAAAGTGTTCACTACCCCACAGTAGCTTGAGGTCTAAAAACTGGAGACAAGCCTCTGTGGGTACCTCGGTAGTGAACCTAAGTCCGCGTCCATGATCTTTAAATCGTTAAAATGATCGTTAAAAAGAAAAACGAGGATAAGTACGCACATCTTGTGTCGCATATTGCCGCATGTGGGTGTGAACCACGATTTTCGGATACAAGGATTCTTGGGAGAAGCTCAAATTTATCAGCACGTTTGCTGTTAGAAGCATATTATATAGAAAAGAATAAAGATATATGTGTCAGCGAGCCATCTTTGGTGTTGCATCAACAAGAAATATCTTTCCTTGATGCGAGGGTTTAGCGATTATATCTCCTTTTCGTGTTAACCCCCCCCCTTTTTTTACTTTTTTTACTTTTTTACTTTTTTCTTGTTCCTAGTGGTGTGGTGACGCCATGTTGGTTTTCTACTGGCGCAGTTCTGTTAGTTTGTGCCTTTGCGCATTTCGATGTACGTATTTAAGAAGGTCAGATAGGAGCAATAAACAGTTGGTAGTGAGCGCTGCGTGTCGTGTGTGTTGCTCTGGTGTAAGTGTGTGTGCTTGTGTGAGTGTTTGCGTGAGTCGAGGTTGCGCCAAAATTTCTAAGTATATGATGTATAACCAACTAGCCCAACAACAAGTTTTATTAAGCTATATTTCTAGTGCAATGGGCCCCTCTTTTTATGCTCCTAATGTGTCTGCGAAGATTGACCTTCTTATGGGCTACATCAGTGAAGCCACATGCAGAGCAAGGATTTCCGCCTTCTGCATCCGGAAAGCCATCACACCAGAAGAAGTAAGTGCCTTGTTTGGGTGTGTGAGACCTTCTTGGGGACACGTGAAAAGAGTGCTCAAAATTCTTAGAGCGGAATTGTGGCGCCAAGTAAGGCTGCTCTATGATTGGCTTCGTGTGATTCTTCAATGCGAATACCCTGAACAACTTGCGGCTTATAAACTCGGGAAAGTCAAGCGTCGTATAGCTCAGACAACTGAATCTAGGTGGAGGAGCGTGTTGACCCCCCTTCTGAGGCTTCAAGGTAAACGGAGAAGAGATAATTATCAGGACCTCGTTGTTCTCGGGGGTGCAGTGCTACCTGAAGACATTGAAAAGCTTCTGCGAAAAGGACCAAAGTATGCATGCACACCAAGTGTTTCCGCCCATGACCTGGTAGGCCTGAACAGGGACCTGTCATCTAAGGCCAACCAGGACCGAGAAAGATGCCTGCTGGACGGTATGGACTGCCTCACGAGGTGTGCAAGCCAACTTCCGGACAATAGCGGTAGCAGAAGACTGAGTAGTGTGGTGTCTTTTTTCAAGAAGCAGAATTTGATGTTAGTACAAGCCGACAAGGAGGGTGGTTTCGTTGTTTTGCCACAGGGTGTTTACAATGAGAAAGCGATTAGCGCCATTGACAAGAACTTTTTACCTGTTAAAAAAAGTGCTGTACGCGTTAAATCTAAATTCACCGCGTTCTGTAGGGAAGTAGGACTTCCTACGCTGGCTGGAACCTTAGCTAGTAGCAAAAGCACTAACTTGAACGTCTTTTTTTTCCGCTAAAACCCACAAAGTGGGCATTCCCTTCAGAACCATTGTTAGTGAAAATGGTTCATGGCAGGGCAACGTTAGCAAATTCCTGTTAAGCAAACTAAAGCCACTCAGTGTTAGTGACCCGTTTCGCACTAAAAGCTCTAGTGATGTCGCAGATTTCATACGGAATAACCAGCAGATTTCCTTTGCTTTCTCAGTAGATGTTGAAGACCTGTTTTATTCGGTACCTCATGATAAGCTTTTGACTTCGGTCCGACAGTGCATAGAAGATAATGGTGACGTTTCTTTTATGAATAATGCGGGCGTATCCGTTGAAAACTTTTTAGCACTTTTAGAATTTTATCTTAACGTTACTTTTATTACTTTTAACGACAAGCCCTATCTACAACGACAAGGCATCTGTATAGGTTCTTGTGTCGCCCCTGTTCTTACTGATATTTTTTTAGCAGATGTAGATAGGACGTTGGATAAATTTTTAAGGGGGAATAAGGTTTTGAAGATTTTTAGATATGTTGACGATTTTTTAATTCTTTTAGACAAGCGGGGGCCATATACACCCCCCAATTACTTTTTAGATTTTCAAGTAGACGCCTGTACTTCAGTGAGTGTGCGTGCGGATGAGGTATCATATGAAGTGCAGCGTTCTTATTGTGAACATGTGCTTAGTGTTTTTAAAGATCATGGACGCGGACTTAGGTTCACTACCGAGGTACCCACAGAGGCTTGTCTCCAGTTTTTAGACCTCTAGCTACTGTGGGGTAGTGAACACTTTTGTTGGGTGTACCGGCCTAGAGTGAAGAAGGGGCTGTTGCCGTATGATTCTGCACACTCGAAATTAGTTAAAAGAGGTATTGCTTCGCTATGTCTAGAATCCTCGTTGATTAAGTCGTGTCCACACCACATGCGTACTAGTTTTTATGAACAGATCAGCCGATTGACGGCGGCGGGCTTCCCTTCGTCGGTCCTAAACGCGGTCGCCGAGTCACTACTGCAGAAGATGAAACGTGGAACACAAAGGGATAGAGCTACTTGGGATCCTTCGGGTTCCAAGCTTCAAGTCGTGCCTTACGTGCACAAGCTCTCCCATAATATTAAGAAGGTTGCTGCAAGGCATGGTGTGGCTGTGGTCTTTTCTGCGCCAGAAAAGCTCGCCAAGTTATGTCCGCGTATTTGCAATGGCAAGAGACGCGGTTGCGTGAAAAAACATGAGAATGCCTTCGTAAAATGTTCCATGGGAGTTGTATACTCCATTCCTTTTTCCTGCGGTAACGTGTACATTGGCATTACCGAGCGATGCCTCAATGACCGGCTTAGGGAGCATGCGCTAAAGGTTAAGAAAAACGAGGATAAGTACGCACATCTTGTGTCGCATATTGCCGCATGTGGGTGTGAACCACGATTTTCGGATACAAGGATTCTTGGGAGAAGCTCAAATTTATCAGCACGTTTGCTGTTAGAAGCATATTATATAGAAAAGAATAAAGATATATGTGTCAGCGAGCCATCTTTGGTGTTGCATCAACAAGAAATATCTTTCCTTGATGCGAGGGTTTAGCGATTATATCTCCTTTTCGTGTTAACCCCCCCCTTTTTTTACTTTTTTTACTTTTTTTTTACTTTTTACTTGTTCCTAGTGGTGTGGTGACGCCATGTTGGTTTTCTACTGGCGCAGTTCTGTTAGTTTGTGCCTTTGCGCATTTCGATGTACGTATTTAAGAAGGTCAGATAGGAGCAATAAACAGTTGGTAGTGAGCGCTGCGTGTCGTGTGTGTTGCTCTGGTGTAAGTGTGTGTGCTTGTGTGAGTGTTTGCGTGAGTCGAGGTTGCGCCAAAATTTCTAAGTATATGATGTATAACCAACTAGCCCAACAACAAGTTTTATTATGTTACTCTCTCATTGCATTTCCCATTTTTTTGGTGCAATTCGTGCCGCCAGCAGTTTGTCATAAGAAAATAAGCCGTCGATTGGTCCATATACAAAGAATAGTATGTAGTTGTAAATTGTCTCTTACTCTGGTTTGCCATGCAGTCACACGCCTGTTCGGCCTTGTCCAACTGGGGTGTGTGATCAACTTATTCAACTTCCTTTTGAGTATCTCCGACTGGGCAAGTGAAGATATTGGCATGGAGTCGAGAAATGTGAAATCCTGTTAGGCTCGATGCTTAGTGCTGATGACATTGTCCAAGCGTTTTATTAAGAAATAGGCGGTGAGGAGGAGATGGCACCTGTAGACAGGGTAGTGATGGTGAGAAACAAACCATTCTCTCATCTTTTAACTCGGTGATTTAGGGGCCCTTTAAAATGTGGAAGCCTTAGACCTCATCAGGCGCAGAAGGTGATCGTTGGCGCGGCAGTGGTGGCGTCAGCAAGAGTGGTGCAAAAAAATTGTCACGCTGTAATGAAATCGCAGGTCGCCAAAAGTTGTGATGTCATCATGACGTGAAATGGTTGCTTGGCCAATTGTGAGCCCATCATGGAGGCAATGCAGAACCGGCTTAGGTAGAGAAAGCATCTAATGCACGTGATCCTCGAGGCAGTGCAAATCGATTTGGATCTTGAAAGCTTTCAGGTGTGAGGGGCATCAATAGAATCAACTGATACAATAATGAAGATGCTGGCTTTAGTCTTCAATTTATTTTAGGCAAATGCAGAAAGGGATGTAAAAGTTTTTCATTGCAAGATGTGTGCAACGTGATCAAATGAGTGTCGTCTGGAAGCCTGCAATGTTATTCTGGTGATTTTTCTGGTGTTTCATCTTTGAAGTCTCTCTCTTTTGAAACGTTATTACACATACTGCTTTTGTTATGGCCTATAGCTTTTGTTGAAAGTTTGTTGACAGTTATATGAACTCAGCCTGAAATATTTGTCAAGATAGCTGAAACCAGAACTGAATTAACATGCCTTTGTTAGGCTTTGTTTGCATATTAACACATTTTCCTAATAAGGTAGTTCAGCACTTGTATCGTGCTCACAAAAGTGGTCCTCGTCACCATGTGCGCTGCTTGCAACAGCGGATGAGCATGTGCATGCTCTTTACTGATTGATTGGTTCATTAATTTATTCATTCAGTGGTCGATTAATTTGTTGCCGTTGTATGTTTGTATTGCAGGTCTCATTTTCTGCAGAGGCAATAAACGAGCCAGTGCCAGGCCATAGTGGCAGTTCACTGCCTTCAACAACATTGGATGCTGTGCCAATGGCAGCCACAGAATGCCTCTGCAGCCTCTGCCATCAGAAACTCGCCAGCCTGTCTGAACTGGAGCAGCACATGCGACTCCACCAGCCACCCGCTACAACCGCCGCCACACAGAGCACAGCTATGTTCACGCAGGTATCTCATCAGCTCTCTGGCCACAACCATTAAAGGGACACAAAAGGAAACATTGTTTTATTGGATTGCTTCTTTACCTGTGTTGTAGATTGCCGGTTTCTGCACACTAATACACGATTTTTTTTTTGCGGCAAAAGTGGGCATTGGGAAGCTTCACGGTAGCAACAATTTTGGTTTACTGGATGGTGATTTATTGTTGAAATTATGTGACTCACTTTTCATGTGTAAGCCGTTAAGTGATCAGAATAGGTTTACTGACAGTTATCTTGGTACTCACTGAGCATGACAGAGGGCACTGCTTCAATTTCTCAATTTTGTTTTCTCACGTGCAAATTCTCTGTGCTCTCACCAGGAATAGTTCAATAGTTAATACAGAAGCCTAATCTTACAGTCTAGCGCCACTTAATATTTCCCTTTAGTGTCTGTCTGTATCACTGAGCCCGAGCTCTACTTGTTTTGAATGGCATTTATGGGCCGAAAGGCTTTGCATAAATATTTTGGTTAAAGCTTGCCCCTGCTTTCATAGTTGCCTGTAGTTGGGCTAATGTTTTTCCTTGCCATCCTTCTAGGGGCTTCAAGCAACGTGCCAGCCTTCCATGGAGCGTGTTGCAGTAAGCAGTTCGACTATGCCCATTTTGCAGCCGGACGAAGTGATTACCTCTGTTGCACCGAGCCAGCATCGCCCGGGGCCATTGCTTCCGCCTCTAAACACGTGGGCAGTAAGACCAACCCGCCCATCCCTGACCAATGCCAACAATGAGCGCCGGCGCCACTCCGATTCTGACCACTTGGCCTTTGAAGGCAGCAGCGGTCTTCTCGCTGATCTTTTACTGGGACCTCGCCGTACCTGTAGAGTGGGCTCGGACCCAGGACTCGAACCACTGCCCTCCTTCGAGCAATTGCAAGGGCTGGTGGCATCATCTCGAAGCTCGCTCGTCGTGTCACCCGACGCAATGCAGGCCAGCATGTCGTACGGCGACTCTCATCAACATGAGGACGTGTTTGCCGCCATTAGCGATGCATTTGACGAGGAGGAAGAAGAAAAGCCGGACAAGGACATGTGTAGTTTTGTAGGCAACCACTCTCTGCACCATGGCAATCTTGGCCGTTCTCCAGCCAGAACGACACTGGCGCAATCCCCGGTGAGCTTTGACCACGAAGTGGTGTGCGTTCCAGATTCGCCGCCGCTCGTCGAAACCAAGGAAATCAAGACTGAGCCAAGTTACGAACAAATGGATGTTCGACAAAACGCAGAAACTTCTGATGTGCGTCGGACTGCGCAAATGCCCACATCAGTGATGGTGTCTACCATAGTGCACTCGAACCATCCGGCAAAACCCATTGGGCATTCAGTCATGCCTGATGTTGGCAGCACTGAAACTCCCGATGTTCCGGAGGCTTCTTTGGAGACGAAGAAGCCATTGGAAAATAGCGGGAGTGAAGAGGTTCAAGTGTCTTCGTGTCGAGCTGCAGAATGTGATGATGACGATGTGTTTTTAAGCCCTATCCCGACGTGCCCCTTGCGGAGTCGACGGAAACACAGACCAGAGGTGAGCTGTTCTGTTTGTTGCCAAAGCTTTAATTGTTGTAATTATGCATGTCAAATGTTGATATTGATAAAAAGAAAAAGATGAATTCACCTTGTTATAGATGTGTATGTTGCATTGAAATATATAGTGTAAATTAAAAGCTGCCCTTTTCTGAAAGGAGATGTAACTAAGAACCATGGCTTGAGAAGTGGCACAAATCTGCAATTCAATTTCCTGTTAATAAAGAATGCGGCGAATCCCCTCCCCCCCCCCCCTGCGTCATTGAAATTGGTATAACATGAAAGTGAAACACGAGTTCAGAGGAGCAACTGAATGTTTATTGTACGTAGAAATATAAGAGCTTGCACAACGTCTGTTGGTGCTTGGCGTTCACGACCATGTCAATTCTTGAGGTAGGTGGGGTATATAACATGACACCTGGGCAAAGCAGATGACAAGTGTGCGCAAAGAAGGCCTCAGTACTATGTCCTTTGATCTGTCATGTATACGTATTGGTTGGTCAAAAACTGCATGTTCAGTTCGTTGTCCGTGTAATTGATAAGGTAATGGCGACTTGGCTTTTATATGAAATAGAAAAAAAAACTTTGATATGTCGACATTGGTATCGCCTGCCGCTATCATTGGAGCAACATGATGGCGACATGAAAGACGGGGGGGGACTTCAGGCAGTTGTGGAACATAGCGTATTTACTTGCATAATGAACCCAAACCCCACCTTGGTCCTCGAAAAAAGGAAAAAAAGTGTTTAAACGTATATGTTCAAATCATTTCGGTGCGATAACCAGCACCGTTGACAATCTAAAAAATGTTAAATCAAGCTATCGTATCACAAATTAACGACACAATAAAAGTCAAAACGTAGTTTTGTTACCATGCTATACACTTGTGAGCAGCGCGAGCGCGACAACGCCAATCAAGCTTTAAAAGTCACGCTTTTTGCGACAAAGCACCATTTGTCGAATGCAGGAGAAGCCTGTTTGCTTTTAGCGCCGCGCAAGCACACCGGCACCAAAACAAAGCAAAAAACAACTCGGATGGCTTTCGAGATGGCTAGCGTGTGGTTTAGAAACATGCCGCCATAATCTTTCCTAAATATACGCTAGAGGGAACTCTGGCGCTAGTGCCTATGGGAGCTTCCACACATGGCGCTTCAGTGAGCATGGGGAATTATGGGTAGTACACAGATTTGCCTTGTCTTCGTACTTTACGTTCCTCTTAGCCTCGCGTGGTTTGAAGCTGCTTTGTCACGAAACAACAATCGGCAAATCTTCAGCAGTTTCCCTTTATTACCTTAACTTACCATTCAAAATCGGGTTACAAAGTCCAAAATAGTTCATTCTTTCTTTCGAAACAAAACCGAAACACAGCAATAAATGGAGCCACAAGTACGATTCGCCACCTGCAAGTACGAAGACTAGACAAATACGTGTACTAAACATCATTCTTATGGTGGCTGAATGATCACAGCACCAGAGTCCCCTTTGGTTAATTTTCGGAAACTCTATGCATGCCGTGGGCTCGCCATCTCGGAGCTTATGCGAAGCCCAACTGCACCATCTGCGCATCGTGCAACTGCAACGTTTGTACGCCGCCATCCGACACTGTGTTCTTGTTGTGGGGATTGTCATTGTGAACTTAGTTGGATACCTGCTGTGGAGGGCACGTTTGGTCAATACACTAGCTACACAGCTGGCTTTAAAATGACGGTTAGTCAAGCATGCACCGGATCATGGAAACCAAGCAGCTGGACAACGCTTTGGCGTCGATCCGTTCGCCTTCGTTACAGGAGAAAACGAGAAGATCTTCGTGCTATAAAAAAAAAAATTGTGGCGTATTTTGCGGGTCGAAATAAGCAAAACCATCGTGCGAAATTTTTGCTGACATAACTCCCGTGACTTTTTTTCTCCTAGCGTAAAGAACCCTCTCCCCTAAATTGGCGCCTCCAAAAGGTGGGCCCATTACGTGAGTGAATACAGGTAATACAATAGGCTTGCATCCAAGCAGGTCTTGATCTGCTTTTATGCCATGCCATAGGCGGAGAGTTTTCATATCCCCAGAGGGGGGGGCCGCCTGACTTGCTGTTCCACATTCTCTCTCTTGAAAGTAATGAGGAGACAATAAGCAATTGTCTGCGACCTAAATTGAAACTTTCATTTTTTTGATTCATACATCCTATACTTACTTTGCATGAGAGTTGTGCAAATTCCTACAATTTTCATCATCCTGGGACTTCGTTCTCAATGTGACCACAGCACCAGACTCTCTGCTTGTCACTGACCCATGATTCGAATTTTATAACCTCCTAAGGAAAAGCAACAGGCATAAACAGTCTCCTGCAAAACAGCTGCAAGACAGAATGGAAAACTGTCCGTTGGCAATGTGTGAGAGCCTAAGCGAAGCTCTTAAAGGGGCCGTGCAACACTTCTGAGCATGCTCTGAAAACACTGCCAATTAGTAGTCGAGTCTCCCGAGAACATGCGAGCCAAATGTATTAGCGCAGCACGTTGCCTGGAATGCCCAATAAGTTCTCAGTCAGCAAGTAATTGCTTTCTCTTCTCTCGCTATCAACGGAACAAGCTTGAAAATTACTTGTCACAACGGTTGTATTACCCAATGGCTGATTAGAGCATGGTGTGCTCGGTCGTTACAGTACAGGACTCGCCGCAGGAAAGCCACGACTTGTCCATGCGTGCATGCACGATTGTACTTAAGAGCCGCATATTTGAAGGGAAAAAAAGAGAAAGATTGTTCAAGGTTACAAGGCACAAGTAATGTTTTCCCTTCCCCATTCCATTCCTTTCTGCTTAGCTTCCAGTGCTTTCGTTGGGACTAGAGAACAGAGAATGCAACTGCAGTGTGCAACAAATTTTTGTAACTCTGCTTGTACTGGATGGATTCTAAACATTTTTGCGAAGGTAAATTCGTGAGGCAACAAGCTACTTTATTGAACTTGTTCTATTGCTACTTGAAAAAGTGTTGCAGGGCCCCTTAATAACTATGCCGGGAAAGTGTTAAAAAGGCTCTGCCCCCCCCCCCCCCCCCAAGGCTCTCTGCCTATGTGTCATGCTAGAGATATGTAAACAAGTCTCTTAGCTGCATAAATCTTTGCCGTATGAGGCACTTAGCAATACATTTGAGAGGCGAAAGATGGGTTAGGTACTCTGGTTACGTGAAGCCATTGGAAGTAGACGTCATATTTTTAGACAGTTGCTCTAAGTAGAAACACTGGTGTTAAGGACCCTAAACAGAGTACTGTGGTGCTTGGGAATGTATTAAATACATTTTTAAAACTACTACCTTGAAAAGACACTTTTGGTTTTGATACCGAGGGAGGGGCTTCTCAATGATGTCTTAGTAGTGCAACATCACGGAAAGACAGAAACTCAACATAATATTGGTAGATTTGTCATCTGCTCGTGGTGCAAGTAAACAATGATGAGTAAATTGTCCTCTGGTGACCTCGGTCGTAATTTGTACGATTTAGCATGCGTGCAGGACGTAGAGTTTTCAAACTTGGGGGAACTCTGTAGATTCATCTGGATAATGTTCATTGTGGCTAGCTTGCAGGGGCTCAGTGATGAAAAAACTTTTTTTAAATGAAGATAGATATTTATTTCATCTTGAACTGCAATGGTGAAAAACGTTAACACAGCATACTAATGGAACAGAAAATATCCCTTTTGCAATGTCTCGAAATCGTTTCTGTACTCCTAAAGGTGGCAACAATAATTTGATATGCTTGTTTGACTAGGGAATTGGGGAGTCGGCCATGAGTCGGCTTCTGTTTAAGACCTCTCTGTTATATCTGCCATGGCTTGCTGCAGCCCCTGTACATACCGCCTCATGTGAATGCCATCGGCTTCCCGAGCCGGCTGCGCTCACCTCGTCTCTGGGACCCGTGTGGGGAGGCCGGAGGCTGCAAGGGCTCTGCTGGCGTCACCTCGCCGCCCCCGTACACTCCACCTCCCATGCTCAGTCCCCTGCGGTCAGGCTCCGGTCTTTTCTGGCACGTCTACTCGGGACCCCGGTCAGCCGGCCCAATGACGCCTCACGCTGTCACTCCTAGAGGTGACTGTTTGGTGCACTCCCTAATATGGAAACTGGCAAAATAAGTGTTTTTTTTTTTCCATTGCCACTTGCCTGCTGCATGAAAGCGTGTGAAGTAGAATTAGAATGTTTTTCAATGACTATTTTGAGCCCGTAACTTTCAGAACTTTTGCCATGTGTGCTTGTGGACAAGTTTATGGCAGTGAAAGGAAAGCCGTATGTGTTCAGCTCCTACACGTGTGTTACGGTCCCAATAATCTGGCCGAGTATTACAGCATTTTTCTTGTTTCACTTACTCGCAGTTACTGTACAGTCGTAGCTTGCTATGTGCCGCAGTTTCACGTTTCCGCAAAGGTACAAAGCAACAAAATCACGTTCATATTCAACACTGAGTGATAGCTTCTCTCCTACTTTAACGTAAGTGCTGTAGTAAGCTAGATGTTACTCCTTGCCCAGTTAAAAGGACATGATAATGTGTTCACATGAGCGCTGTCATGCACATGCTTTACCACGGTAGCTTTCTCTTTGCTGCTACAAAAAGTTCTTTAGTGAACACACGAGCTTCATCCATTAACTGGCTTCTGTAATGCTCGCGCAGTACGTGCCTCCAGCTAATAAATTTGGCATTTATTGCAAATATTATTGTGTTTTGGCAATAAAAATGTGTTGTTTTATTTGATGAATGTTGTGAAACCCCCATTTACATAGGTTACCGCAGAAAGGCTATCGTTGATAGCTCACTTGACTCTTTCTTGGGCATCGTTGTATGCAGATCGGGTGAGTGCCGTCTATCCGCCCACTAGCGGTGGAGGCAGCAGTGCAGTGCCCCAGTCACCTCTGGAAAGTCCGTGCGAGGCGCCCGTTTCTGAAGATGAGGGCGAGCTGGCACCAGAGACGGACATCCTTCCGTGAGTACATGTTTTTGTGAGATGGACATCCTTCCAAAACTTGAGCAATTTGTTGGCATGCACGGTTGAGGCACCAAAAGAAGTCATTGCCTTTGGAACTGCAGCAAACTTCAGAACAGGCTTTGTTAATCGCTGGGAAAAGTCACTTATTTGAGCTGATGATGCACGTTAGAGAGGCAGCACAGACTGGCTCAAGAGGCAGCTCTGAAAGCAATATTACTTTGTAGCTGCAGTTCCGAATTCCTCTGTACGTGAAATCACTTCCATAATTGCTTCCAAGTTCTTCTGTAAGTGAAATCACTTCTGTGATTGCTTTTGAATCACTTCATAAATGGAATAACTTATAATTACTGCTGAATTCTTCTGTATATTAAACTGCTTCTGTAGGGCTTTTTGAGACTCTTTCGTAAGCCATTAACATCCGTCATTCTTACTTCGTAAATTATATCACTTCCCTAACCACTTTCAAATTTTTGTACTAAATGAAATTAGTGTGCTACAATGGGCTTCATTTGTACGCCTAACTGAAGTCTTCTCGATAATGTAGTAATGGAGCATGGCATGGTTCAACTCGTGTAGCGTGATCGAGGAATGGGAGACCACTGCGTTAGACTATTAGTGTGTAGGGGAAAAAAGGGTTAAGAAAGCATATATGTGGTGAAATCAGAGGAATTACAAACACTTATCTCGGATAAAAACATGCATTTACAAGCATCAATTACATTGCCCAAATTGCCATTAGGGTCAGTGTTGTAGCCTTTTCTTATGCTGTTCAATGCGCAACACATGGTGTTATTGCAAGCACAAGGAGCGTAATGCATGCATGTTTGCATGGCATGCTGAATTCATCTGACATTCATGTGATCAGCTCAGCATTTTAGAAATGGCAGCAAGTTTAGAATGTTACTAACATGTCATAAAACACAAATGACGAAAAATTATATTCTTATGTCTGCTGGATGCCCATCTATAAAAGTTATTGTGTTGGTTAAATGTCTGAACCGTGCAATTACTGGAGATTGGCATCACATATTTTGAGCTCACAAATGACTACGGCATTTTTTTTAATGCTCGTTCTAATTTACACCATTTCTTTCTTCCAGGCACGTCAATGTTGGTCCACAGTATCAAGCCCGGTTGCCCCCCTTAGATGGTGAGTTTGTAGTACTTGACAAGGTCGTTACAGTTTGACTTTTATTCCATTGTAGCTAAGTGCTATCTATAGTAAAATAAGGTAGCGGTGAAATTTTAAAAATCAGGTTACCATATTTACTTGAATCTATCTAGGCCGATCCCAATTCTAAGCTGACCCCCCAAAATCTGAAGCCCCCTCCCTCAAAAACTCGATTGTAGGCTGAACAAAACAGTGAAGACATTGTTAACAAACAGAAAACATTTATTTAATATAAAGATAAAACAAAGCAGTTGGTTCATGATAAAAATAGTAACTTGAAAAACATACAGCCGCTAGTCCTGTTGTGTTGTTTTTGTCATAGTTCTTTTCGCACTGCTTCTAGCTATTGGCGTCATAAGGACGTCGCGCTTGCCGATGCCGCGCTCATTCTGAGTTGTCCTTGCTGCTTTCTTCGTCGCTGACTTCTTTGTCGCTGTATTCAAACAGTGCACAATCCTCGGGGCCATTAAGCGCATTGTATATGCCGCACGTTTTTAAAGAATGCACAATCAAAGTTCCTGGGATGTCGTCCCACGCTGCAGACTTTCCAGCGATGCACAATTTTTTTCATCCACTTTCAAATCTCGCCCGGCTTCAACGTTGGACGATGAGGACGACTTTACGGCTAGGACAACTTTCCTTTTATAAGTGAAACTAAAAGCTTCAGGCAGCTTGTATATGGCACGGGTTTCGGCGAAGAGCACTAAATAAACTTGAAACCATGCTTACCGCTTCTTCCCTTCAAAGAACGTGCATCACGGACTTTATTGGGGGGAACTGACACAGAACTCCTTGAGCCCTGCGGTGGCCTCCTGCACAATGTGATGTCGTGTCGTGCAAACCGTCCCATTGTCCGTGCGTTCCGCTTTTAGTGCGCTGGCAGCCCAAGCGCTTCTACTGGGTAGTGACTAGCGCCACCTGACCACTTCCCCTCATTCGACTATCATCATGATCATATTCCGCTGCAATTGTCAGTTCGGTTTTGGTTTCTCCGAAACTCCCCTTTTGCGTCAGTTACAGGAAGCAGTGCTTGAGCCTCCTAGCTGCCATTATCGAGCAACTCTCAGCATTGAGTCCTGATAGCCTTCTCCAAGTTGTCTCAGTTAACCAGTGCCCGGCTTCATTCTTTTGAATTAATGAGCATTTGATGCCATTGAAAGATAGCTTTGCCGGTATTACGCCCCGAGTCAAAGTTAACGAATTTTTAGGTAATGAGATCCAGGTCAATGAGATTTTACTGTACTGGGTATTACATGTCACGACCCACACTATGCACTTCATGGGTTGTCATTTTTACCTTTCAGTCGAAGATGCATTGAAGTCTGAACACCTTGCTGACCTCGTCTGGGACCCACGCATTGGCGACCACTTAGCTGATGATGAAGGTTAGTCTATTAGTCAGTCTATCAGTTTTTATTAGTATACAATACTAATAAATTATAAAAGAAATCAATATAGAGTAAATATGCACAAAAATGTACAGTCTTAGAAATAATGCATTTATAGGTTGCTCAAAATTTGTTGACATTTCACTGTCTTTTTTGTGTATGTATAGCGCTGTATGTGTATTCTGTCTTGGAAATCTGTTGGCAGGGCACTGCTGTCACAGCTTGTGAGCTCATTACCAGCAGACAAAGTGTGGGCTGATTTTTTTTTTTTTACTTTATACATACAGTATTGCAAATACTGAAAGTGATGTGTTAAAGAATGTTGTAAACAGTGCACAAAATAGGAACTTTTCTTTAAGTAGCCATAGTGGCTCAGTTGAGCGCTAGTGATCCCTTATTGAAATCGAAAGCACACCTTAGGCTAGGCTGAGGCCGATTCTGTCTTGTAGCAAAATGGCGCTTTCAGTAACCGTGCGACATTAAATAATGTTGCAAACTTTGCACAAAATAGCAACTCTCCTTTATGGTGGCTCAGTCGAATACAAGATCTGAGTGATGTTTCATTGAAATCGAAAGAACATCTTAGACAGGCTGAGGCCAATCCTGTTTGGTTGTTGCAAAATGGTGTTTTCGGTAATTGTAGGATGATGAAATCTCTGACCTTGCCGGAACTCCTTTTTTTGGCTGCAGTGGAAAACTATCTGGAGTTTGCATGCTGCGCGGCCGTGCCTGGTGGAGGTCGGAACCGAGAGTATGCCTTTCACGTATTGGCACTCTGCCAGGGGAATCTGCAGGTAAGTGTGATTGATAAAACTCGTGTTCCACAACTTCAAGAACTTATCTTCTCACTTATTATGCTGAGAGAGCCTTTGGGCTTTCATTATCTTGGCAGCTGGATGTCTTCTGAAAGCCATAAACTGCAGAAATCTAGTTGTGCCAAGGTCTTGAAAAAAAAAAAAAAAAAAAAGCCTTGTTTAGCCACATTCCAAAAGTCTTTCACTGCTCTGTTTGTCGCCTGTGGGACTATGTTGTGGTGTACTATTACTCCAATAGCGTGCATCAAGATGCAGCATCAAGACAATGTTTTTAAATGCATTGTTGGCTCCTCGAAAGGGAAATAAAAAGATAATTTACTTGTTCCAAAAATATTATTGAAATGCATAGTGTTAGCTCAGCTGGTGCGATTAGGTTTAGCAAATATGCCCCGAATTTTTTCCTGTAAACACGCACCCTCAACAACTATGTGTCAAAAGCTTACATATTGACGTAAAGCTAGCTTTTTTGCATAGCTGCAGAGCACTGCTATGAAGCGATGTTTGCAGACTGAAATTTGCATGCTTTGTGTTGACATTAGTTCCAAAAGCGGGCTATATGCAATGAAGTATGGTATTTGTTAACTGCTGTTTACAAAAAAAAAAGGCTTGTGTGAATAGTGAATTTTAAGTTTGAAGCGAATAGTGATTTTGGTCGAACAGTATTGAATTCGAATAGTTAATATGTCACATATTATAAATAAAAGGGGCATATTTGTTATGACCAAACTAACCTGCACACTATTTTTTAAAAATTAAAACAAGGCCGGTGCAAATGTCATTTTTTTTTTTTTACGTCAAAGGACGTGAACGCAACGTTGAATAGTAACACGATTTGCCTTTAGCATAATAGAAGTGATAGCCTCTAAAATATGTTACATTTTAAAATTTGCTATATTTAGAGCACATAAGTGGTTATAACGAGCTTTTCAACTGAAAAAATGAATCAATGTGAAGATAGAATGTTCATTTATTATTTAAGTCGGGGTTCAAGGAAATGCAGATTTCTCCTGGATAAGTGTTTTCATGGTTTACCATTACTCTAATGCAGCAAAGTGACTTTTACAGGCAGTTACATGCAAATTATTATACATTTAGATAAGTGTTTTCACAGCATAGCACCCGTCCACTGCAGTGAAACCACTTTCACGGGTTGTTGCATGCAGATTATTACACACCTATTCGTTCGTCTCGAATAATTAGAAATTTTCGAAAAATGAAATTTGATTCGAAGCCGATTTGAATGTTCAAAGCATATGAATATTTGCACAAGCCTAAAAAATAGTAAAGGAAGAGACTGCCATCAGTCTGAGGCTGCCCCGCGAGCTCTTTGCAATGTGGTGCCCAGGAGGCAACGTTGAGGTTGATGGAGCGGGAACCGCGGCTGCCCGGTGGTCACCCGCTGCTGACGTACCGCTACCCAGAGTGCCACCGTTGGAGCCGTGAGGAGATGGAGCGCTTCCAAGAAGGGCTGGCCACATTTGACAAGGACTTCCTGCACGTGGCCACCAAGGTTCGTTAGGCATCCATGTTCACAGCTGTTTGGTATCCACATTGCATCTGCTTGCAGGGAGCCTTCGTTAGGCAAAAGCCTAATCGGTCTCACAAGTTGGAAAAACTAGCTGAGTTGACGTCAAACTAATGGCAAAAAAATGCAGTCGTAAGTCGTAAGAATTTGTGGTGTCATCATGTCATGACGTCGTCATCAGATTACGTCATCAGATGCAATCAATCGATCAACAACGCAATGTGCTTAACACAGACCATAGAGTTTCTCGCAAAATCACCTCGAGGGAAATCTGGCGCTAGTGAGGTGCTGGATGCAAGAGAATGCCAAGATATGTGTGCCTCAAACTTTACTCAGATTTGTATACTTCGAATACGCGTCTGGCTTCACGTTAAAATGGTTGATTTCTTACTAAAATAGCACATAAGCTATTTATTTTTTACCGTTGCACAGAAACGTGTTTTATTTAACACTCTGAACTTCTGCATCGGTGTAGAATATTACGAAGCCTAAAAGGTAACCAACGGCCATTAAACAAGGAGGCAGACGACAAAGCCAGCGTTCCCTCTGTCACTTTATGTTGTCTATTTCTGTCTTTCACCGTTTGGTTGTGCCGTCAAAGTGAGTGCACTTTTATTTTAGAATGTAATACGCGTGACAACAATCAGCAAATGTTCGGCATTTACGCTTCCCCACCTTCACTTTTTAGGATGACCATTTAAAATCGTGTCACGAAGTTTTAAATAGTTTGTTCCTTCATTCGAAACAAAACCAAAGTGCAGCAATAAACGAAGCCACAAGTGCATTTGCCGCTCTCAAGTACAGAGACTAGGCAAATCCATGTCATACCCATAATTCCCATGGTTGCTGAACGATCACAGCGCCAAAGTCCTGTATAGTTAATTTTAGGAATCTGTATGCGTGCCAGTGCTTCAAACTGTTTTGGGGAAAAATGAGAAACACCATACGAACGTCCTGTAGTGTAAGGAGTCTGTTAATGCGTGTAATATTGCATGCTTGGATCATGGAATCACACCTTGCTATTAAAACAAGTGATTGACCCGAATGGCTGGTTTAAAGGCGCACCCATTACAAAGCACTCGGGCAAAATCAATCATGATCAGCAGCGGCGTAATTAGTAGTGTCCAGCAGTGCAAGTGTGCACATTGCCTTACTGACACATAGTGGGTACTTCACCTGTTTGCAAAGGGAAAAATTGTGAGGTAGTGAGCACTTTGTAACTGTAGTTGCAGTATAGGCATTCTAGGATAGTTTGAAAGGGCCAATGTTACAGGCACAGACTATTCCTTTTTATTTGCAACACGGTTGAGGTGTCCATAGAGAACCAAAGCCAGGCTAGCAGTTGAGGAGGCGACGTGTAAAGGGCCTGTTTTGTTATCGTGTTCTACTCTCGAAGGTGAAGCTCCAGCGTCCTCCAAGTTTTTGTTTGGCTATCTGACGTGCGTGCAAGGTGAATTGGAGTGTTACCCATGCTTGTGTGACCTTTGTCACTGGCAACTGCTGTGTGGTGCAGGTTGGAACCAAGAATGTACAGCAATGTGTTGAGTTTTACTACGTGTGGAAGAAAGTGGTGCCGGAAGAGTACCGGCGGCTAAGGTGTATGCGGCGGCGGCGCGAGCTGGACCAGGCGGCACCGGAGGAAGACGACATGGAGGAAGCGGCCGGCAGCCCGTCGGCTGCGCCTGCAGCCATAGCCAAGCCGACGATGCCCGCTTCGGAACCTGTGCAACCCTGTGAGCCGCCGCAGGAGTTCCCGTGCAGACTTTGTGGAAGGTTAGTCGCATTGCTCCTTTTTTTTTCTTAGTTCGGACTATAAAAACACTAGTAAACGGGCAGCATTGTACTACGGCAGTGTAAGCAGAATTCAATGCTGTTGTGTCAATTAGCAGTCTGTTAAAGTGACAAGACAGATTTTAAGGAATGGGAAGCTGAGAGTTTGGTGGTGCTATAAAATAAGCAAGTTTCCAGGCCCAAAATTTAAATCGAAAGCATTGACTGTTGCATCATCATAAGGTAATTGTCAATGCTATGGGTTAGAAATGGGCAGAAAGAAGAAAAGGACACACTGCCTGTGTTCGTTTCTAACCCATTGCGCTGTCAATTCTTTTACAATGAAAAGGAAAGACCGACGACACATCTTTTTGTGTCCGAAGCATCCTACGAGTTCGAGCTGTTGGTTTCTTCCTGTTGTCGTAGCACGTCATGGTGTATCCTGTCATTGCCCTTCATGGTAAAGCAAGCTGCAAATAAGACTGTACATTCGCTGGGGCAAAGCTCGTTAAAATGCACTTGCACTCTCGTCCACGAGAGGCAATGCTGCATGCGCTTCTATGAGTGGAAAATAAGGCTCTGCATTGGCTCTGGGAAAAATCTATTTCTGTTATAGACGATGTCTGCGACGATTGCTGTATCAGTGAGGGCACTGTCCTCTTGTTGCTGTTGAAGTGTCCCTTTCAGAAACACCTGTGTTTTGCACCTTCCCAGGGTTCATGTTAGTGGAACCGTTTTTTAACTCTTTTTCCGTCTTCGTGTGTGCGTGTGCTGTTTTACAACAGCTCTAACACCTCGCCTATATTGCTACTTTGTATGTTTCTGTGTGCGTATGTGCCACAGTTTGGTGTGTGCATCCCAACGTGTGCAGGGTGTTTGCCAAAGTGAAAAGCCGCAATGCCCACATGAAGAGCCACGGAGCCCCTCGTTCGGTGCCCAGCAGCCGATTCGAATTCTGAGTGCCGGTGGCAGTATTGTCGCCGATGCCTCCCCACCACCACGGTTGGTGCTGCTGCCCTCGTTTGCTGCAATTGCTCAACACCTGGGCCGAATGTTCTGGCCCATTGCCCCATGCCCACCCTTCGTGTCGTCCCTGTACATGGCTTGTAAATACTAGGTTTTTTGTCATTCTTTTTAATTGGGGAATCGTAACGATCCCATTGCCAAGGCCGTCCGGCGGGTCCTCGTTATTTTTGTACTCGCGAGGCACGTGCTCCACAGATTAAAGAAGAGAAGATATGCTGTTGACCACTGCTGACTCTGATGGAGTGACTTTTTTTCCCCATCAAAACGAAGTGTCATTTGCTTCAAAAGCGTTGCCATGGGGCAGTAGCCCGTGGGGGATGGGCAAAGAAAAAAAAAAAAAATCTAGGAAAGGTAGTCGCGTGACAATCTTCGAATCATAGTCATAAAAAAAAATGTACTAAGGGAGAAATTGCCCTCCATGTGATAGGCAAGTATTAGCTTCCTCACTTAAACCTTATCATGACAAAGTTGCATCCGACATGAAAGTGACTTAATTATATCCAAATATTTGTTATAAGCATAAATTCTTACCGCTGTATCTATGACATGACTATTCTTCATCTATTTCATTATAACTGATAATTTGTTACATTCATGTTTATCATTGACATTTGAATTTATTATTGACCTTAAATTTTTTGATGTTTTATTCAGCCAGTAAGGCCACATTTGTTATGCCTGACAATTAAAAAGCAGACCGTATCTCAAAATGACGGCAAAGCTGTCAATAATGCTACTATTTGCCTGTTGGTGTTGCATGCTACAAGACATCAATCAACTATCAAAAAAAAAAATTCTATACTCTCCGTAATGGCTAGTGATGGTGCTTACTGATACTCCCATGTTTAAATGCACATTACCATCTAAAGTAGATGGAGGGATGACCGCTGCTGTAGTTCAGTGGTAAAGCATCGGACGGGTTGAATGCAAAAGCTAACAAATCTACTCTATCTGTTGGGGAGGTTGGGACAGAGCAGCGCAGGATATCGCAAGATTAAAGTGACCATCCGTCACCTAAAGGGTGCTACCACATTGGCAGGTGGCACTAAGAAGTTGCCATCAACCTAACTATCACCTAAATGCCATGCTGGGCTAGAATGCTCCCGAGGGACAGCACAGGACTTAATTGTTCACCGTTCTGTCCACTTTTATTGTCCCAGTCTTTGGTGTGTTTCAAACTAATATTTGCTCACTAACAACTACCAACCAGCCTAACTCACCATCATCATGCTGCCACCTACTTTTTTAGTCTTTCATCCAGTCACTGCAGGAACAAGTAAGCTACTGCTGAGCTTCTAGTCATGCTGTAATGTCTTCCCTTTATGTAGAGTGAACCCACAGGAACATCTTCAGCTTCTGTAATTGGTGATCTCATAATTAATCTGTATTGCAGTAAGTGGCCCCTTGCTGACCTGGCTGTTTGTAATGCACAGAACATCTTAGCAAGGCTTGCCTGTTCAAGGCACTCGGTGTAGTTCTTTCGCAGAGCCCAATGTTCATTTGCTGCTCCACGTTTCACCTCAAAGTGAATTTTGCATTTGAGTGGTGCCTGTGCATTGGCAAATAGGTTGCTGCTGTACAGATATGGTTCTGTGTGCACAGTTCTGGTCAAGCTGTTTTTAACTATAGAAGCCATTCCAGAGTTGTACAAAGCTAAGCTGCTGCGTGATAGAGAACATATTTATGGAAAGTGCTAGTCATAGATTTCAGTCACAATCTTTTCAGGTTTGCAGGGGTGCAACAGCTGCACCAATTGCACCAATTTGATACAATTCCCGAGTGTTGCGCCAAGCTGCACCAAAATGCTCAGCCAGCCTCAAAATTTCCTCAGGTTCGCTAATTTTGGCGTCAAATGCAGGCCACGTCGGCCATCTGCAGTTTTCGCCATCAGTCAAAGCGCGCAGACCCTAACTATAGTGCCTAGAGTATTCTCAGCACCTGTCCCTACGCTCGCGAGACGCGATCGACCAGATAAAGTAACAACACTGCGCCCCCATCTGTTCGCTGACCACTGCTCATACCTATCGGCGGGACAATGGACAGAAAGCGTTGTTGTAGCCACTAATGCTTCGTGGGAAATGTAAATTTCCTAGCCTGAAAGCGCAGCTATGGCTTCTTAGGAACTAAAGCTGGAAGCGCATGCCGCGTTTTCCTCGCGCAAATAAGCTCGACGTGCTGCGAATGCCGGCGTTGGAAGCGACGATGTCTATTGCTTTAGCAGTGGCACATGAAATTCTTTTTGTCCTGAAGGTGCGTTCTCCCGGCCACGGTCCTGGCTATATATATTCTCTGGTACTGTCACCAGACCAACGGACGTGCACCTTTATTACTTTACCTGGTTGAATGCACCTTGCAAGTTCAGTTCAGTTCAGTTCAGTTCAGTTTATTCAATCATTCAAAATACAAAATTCGTAGAGTGTAGTATGCAGACGAGGGTCCCAAAGTCAAGCGACTGCAGGGGGACCCTCAAAGTGAGACGAAGCAGCACATAGCCCCATAGTGAAAAAAGAAAGAAAGAAAGGGTGGGAAGTGTGTGTGTGTGGAGGGGGAGGGGGAGTGTAGCAGTTACAAAATTTCTTGGCATTGGTTCTAATTCGTGCAGAAAATGCTGCTTAACTGCATTACAATGGTGCCCTGCAGAAAAGCGTATTGAGATTTGGAAGGGGCGGTTAGCACTAATCACAGGACACTACACACTTTGTTCAATTACTTGTGCATCTGTCGCTGCATAATTCTGAGTACCAGTGTAGTTACTGACGTCTAAATAAGTTACTGGCAATTATTTGGAGCAGTGTATGACCTTTATGCTTCTCTAAAAAAAAAAAAAAACTAAATTGCTGGCCAGTTTTTCTTTTTTTTGCCACCCCTACTGGGTTTTAGGGTTTTACGAATCTCCCGAATTTCAAAGTTACGAGCTTGGTTGATCCATATTTAAATTCAGAGTTTGGCAAATGATTTGACAGGCACAGCAAATGCTAATATGGACTTCATCATTGTTTGCTCAGCGGGGTGGTCAAACTTATTGAAATAGCAGTGCTCATGTTCCCACTGCATGATGTTAAGTGATGTTGAATGGTTATGCACATTTTTTTCTAAAGGTAAGCCTTTATATTGATCCCAAATTCGGTGCTGCATGATGAAAAAAAATGCATGTTTTTTATTCCATAATCCACTCAAAATTCGGATTTTAGTGCTCCGAAAGTAACATCTTGCTGCTGTGAAAATTGCTCCAAATTTTATTTCTGCTGTTGCACCTTTGGGTTGCTGATCAACTGGGACCATAAAATCACCAAGTTCTTGGTTGTCAGCTGAAATAAATGTTGAAAACGACATAGAGGCAGGCTTTGAGATACCGTGTACAGTAGAACAACTTAATAGGAGACCTGAAATGCCATAAATCTTTAATTCGACGGTACATGAACTTGGGAGGTGATAGGCAAGTGTTTGTGAAGTAAAACCATGCACTCATCTAGCTACCAGTGCATAACTCTGGCGTATAATGTTCCATTCTATGGAGCCGTTTAAAGTCTGAAAAGTGGGCTTCTGGCATTAATAGAACGGGGTCACAGTACTAAGGGCGACGTGCTGCGAATGCCGGCGTTGGAAGCGACGATGTCTATTGCTTTAGCAGTGGCACATGAAATTCTTTTTGTCCTGAAGGTGCGTTCTCCCGGCCACGGTCCTGGCTATATATATTCTCTGGTACTGTCACCAGACCAACGGACTTGCACCTTTATTACTTTACCTGGTTGAATGCACCTTGCAAGTTCAGTTCAGTTCAGTTCAGTTCAGTTATTCAATCATTCAAAATACAAAATTCGTAGAGTGTAGTATGCAGACGAGGTCCCAAAGTCAAGCGACTGCAGGGGGACCCTCAAAGTGAGACGAAGCAGCACATAGCCCCATAGTGAAAAAAGAAAGAAAGAAAGGGGGGAAGTGTGTGTGTGTGGAGGGGGAGGGGGAGTGTAGCAGTTACAAAATTTCTTGGCATTGGTTCTAATTCGTGCAGAAAATGCTGCTTAACTGCATTACAATGGTGCCCTGCAGAAAAGCGTATTGAGATTTGGAAGGGCGGTTAGCACTAATCACAGGACACTACACACTTTGTTCAATTACTTGTGCATCTGTCGCTGCATATTCTGAGTACCAGTGTAGTTACTGAACGTCTAAATAAGTACTGGCAATTATTTGGAGCAGTGTATGACCTTTATGCTTCTCTAAAAAAAAAAAAAAACTAAATTGCTGGCCAGTTTTCTTTTTTTTGCCACCCCTACTGGGTTTTAGGGTTTTAACGATCTCCCGAATTTCAAAGTTACGAGCTTGGTTGAATCCATATTTAAATTCAGAGTTTGGCAAATGATTTGACAGGCACAGCAAATGCTAATATGGACTTCATCATTGTTTGCTCAGCGGGGTGGTCAAACTTATTGAAATAGCAGTGCTCATGTTCCCACTGCATGATTTAAGTGATGTTGAATGGTTTATGCACATTTTTTTTCTAAAGGTAAGCCTTTTATATTGATCCAAATTCGGTGCTGCATGATGAAAAAAAAATGCATGTTTTTTTATTCCATAATCCACTCAAAATTCGGATTTTAGTGCTCCGAAAGTAACATCTTGCTGCTGTGAAAATTGCTCCAAATTTTATTTCTGCTGTTGCACCTTTGGGTTGCTGATCAACTGGGACCATAAAATCACCAAGTTCTTGGTTGTCAGCTGAAATAAATGTTGAAAACGACATAGAGGCAGGCTTTGAGATACCGTGTACAGTAGAACAACTTAATAGGAGACCTGAAATGCCATAAATCTTTAATTCGACGGTACATGAACTTGGGAGGTGATAGGCAAGTGTTTGTGAAGTAAAACCATGCACTCATCTAGCTACCAGTGCATAACTCTGGCGTATAATGTTCCATTCTATGGAGCCGTTTAAAGTCTGAAAAGTGGGCTTCTGGCATTAATAGAACGGGGTCACAGTACTAAGGGCGACGTAGTGCGCAACCAGCATTCAGTCTGCATGCATTGTTGCTATGCAAATGAGCTTTGCAACGTTATCGCGAGTCACGATGCATGTTATGATTCATATTGTAATGCAGTCATTGTAATGCCATTTGAGGCATTTGCATAAGGCCTCGATCACTGATCACTCCATGATCGCTGGACAGCTTGGCATCAGGTTAGTATATGTGACGACATCAGCTCGGAAGGCAAGACATCCCCAAATAGCA